TGGACAAAGACGTAAATGTTTTTCACATCTAGATATTGAACTAGAACGTTAATATTAAAATGTTGCCAAATTGCAGGAAAGTTTAAAATATATATTATCGTAGGAAGAGTATTAATTAATTTTTATGTGTAACATCACATCTATTATTTGGCAATAACCTAAACAGTAATTGATTTACATTTACTACTATATTTTTCTAGAACTATACGCACTATACGTATAGTACTGATCTGCCCATCTCTAATTTTTCATAATGTTCTTTATTATTATCATCTAAATTCCATATTTTCCATACAGTTTATTTCTGTATCTTTTCTGTATTTTCTTTTTTATAGTAATAGGGATGATTGATATAAAATATAATGACACATTCCAGTTTAATAATATTATGAAAAATAAAATAATTGAATAATAAATAAAACATAAGAAATAAATAACAAACTATACCAAAATTACTTACCGCGTTTCAACGAATTTTATATGTGAAGCAAAAATTTGTTGTAATGCGAATTTAATTATCTCTTAAATGGTCAAAGGGTCGATATATCGACCCTTTACATATAAACCATTCCAAATTTAGTTTTGAGTGTATCACGTTCTAATATGAAAATGATCTTTAGGTCAAAATAATACGATCTATAAATAAAAAATTCGGCTGCTATTAATATTAAAAGTCAAAAAATGGTCGTTATTTCGTGTAACCAATTTGCAGATCACCAAAGATTCGCCCGAAGTTTAAAAATAAGTTCATTTAAAAACGTCAATTAAATTTTCGTGTTACATTCAATTGTTTAAATTTTGTATTCCATTAAAAAATCCGAAATTTATTAGTGTGACCGTTAAGGGATAATTTTTTTCAAACTGATTATGCTATATTAAGTATTTGTTGCGAATAAATTATTTTTATTTTAATTTCGAGACGAAACTATTTCGCCATTATTATTATGCACGTAAAGTAATTATTATATAATGAAGAACATTTTTAGTTCGTGTTATAGTATAATCTGAAAGCGATGTTCACTTTACACTAGTATTATAATTTGAATACGAGTTATTAATAAGAAGAATGAGTAGTGCCAACTCCCAAAAAATGTATTCATGTTGAACCAAAGGTCAGAAAATAGCTCAAATAATCAGTTGATATTGTATACTGTATGTGTAATACATATGTTTATAGAAGGACCGGGAAAACTCTATTGAATGTGACCGCCAACACTATGAGTCGAAAGTACCTTTAAAAAAAAAAATGTGACCGCCTCACCATAGATTCGCAGACAGAGAAAAATAAAAAATGTCATCAGTTACACTTGATTCGCATTATTAAAAAATTTTATTATTATTATTATCGGTTACACTATAATAAATAATAATACTGATAAAAATTAAAAAAGTCACCAATAATAAATTAAAAAATTTAAAATGAAAAATCATAATAAAAATAATAAAAAAAAATCCTTATGATTCACGTCAAAAACGTTTTACTACATACTCTAACTTTCAAGAATTTGTCAATGCTAAAAAAGTTATTTGTAAATGTGGTCAAATTATTTCACTTGGAGTCAATTATCAAGTGTTTGGGCAAAGTTATTATGTTTTATGAAAAATGTGGGCAAGGACATTCAAGGGTAGAAAGGCCGGCAGGATTTTTAGATCATTTATCATATATTTCTATTAAGGCTTATCTTCCTGTATCACAATGGTATTTTTCATATGAAAATTTGGCAGGAGACATTACAATTCATATTACACCACGAGAAGTAGTTTGTTTTTTTGGGAATACGTTCTTATTCTAATATTAATCTTGTTTGATTGCAGTAGATGATGAAACATTTTTAATTTATAATCATTTTAGTCAATCAAGTACACAAAACTTTCTTTTAAATATTTTTAATCAATAAAGATAATTTCATGTCCTCGGCTATTTTGATTCGCATTATTAATAATTTTAAAATGTGTTCGGAAAATCGATTCGCATTAATATGATTTGTTATTTAATTTGGCGGTCACATACAATAGAGTTTTCCCGGTCTTTTTATAGAAGTAATTTTTTGTGAAATGAGAATATCTCTCAAAAAAGGTAACACTAAATATTCCTTTTAGCAAATTTTTACATGTTTTTTCTAATATTAGATGCTTCGCACAGTTCTGATGCGTTATAGGTACACCACTACTATATTTATTGTTGATATTGTTGATGGATTAATTGCAAGAATCAATGTATTTGTAATTTGAATTGTATCTCAACAGGATTTTCTAGAAAAAAATTGAATAATAACAGGATGACTATACTCAAGCCTGACTGTATCATTTTCTAAAAAAAAGAAGTAGTCTTTTGATAAAAGCTCTTATTATTATAGGGGGGATGAAAATATTTTTCTAGAAGTTTTAATTAATAGTGATTGGTTACAAACATAGAAGGAAGGTTTTTGATATTGTTCCTATATGGGAGGTACAACTATACTAGATATGGTAATAAGTCATGTGCTTATATATACCAAATAATAAAATGATTGTTTCCTCATTTGATTAGTTTATTTAGAAAAAAAAAAATGTAGTTTAATTCTTTAGGAAAAAAAAAAAAATATAAAGTTTAATTCTTTATTTTTTCCATAAAATTAAAATGGATCCATCGATGAATAACATCAAGAGCATTAATATTAATAAATATGTTGGATTTATTTTAATAAAGAAAATTGGATGGTAATTCAAGTGTCTTTTTATTTTTTATTTGTTTTTATTTTATTTTGCTTAATTCATTTATTAAATTAAATTGCCCTTAAAAACGATAATCTAAATTCAAAAAGTATATTAAAAAATTATAATCATGATCATAAACAAGAAAAAAATCATACAAAAATCAGTGAAATATTTAAAAGTGCATTCAATATCAATGAAGTACTTAATTTGCAATTGGAATTTGAATACAATAATGAAAATAATTACACTCCTCCATTCAAAATGTAAACCTTTCGATTTTTTATTCTGCTATATTTAAATTTACAATCAATTGATCAATCGATTGATCGACCAATTATTCATCAATCAGTCTATTAAATTCAGATAAAGCCGCTTATTGGAGTGAGAATATTTTACTAAAATTATCTAAACCAAAAAACATTCCTAAAGACACAGAATTAATTGTTAGATGTTGGGATAATAGAGTTAAAGGAAGAGATGGAATCTTGACTGAAATAAAAATAAATCTAATTAAACTTGATCCTCATGAAAATAAAGGTATAATAAATAACTGATTAGATTTTCCTTTGTTTTAACTTCTAGGGAGAAATAGATATAATATAACTAATTGATAATATTTATGGTTTTATTTTATCATAGTAAAATTGATATCAAAAGATCACAATTACGAAATTAACTTTGAAGTTTATTATATATTAAATGTAAGTTTGTTTTTATTTTGTTATCTTTCTTAGAAAAAACCAATCTTCTAATCCTCACCTTTAGGAAAATCCAAAAGCTTCATCAAAAATATTAAATGATCTAAAGCTTAAAAAAAATGTGGCTGGTATTATGCTAATAAAAGAAATGATATTGTACGTATGATGTATACAATATAATATAAAGATATATTAATCATAATATTATAATAATCATCTTCATCATAATTGTAATTATACAGTGAAGATTTAAGCGGAATTCCTGGCCGTGTAGAGATAAAGTTTGACGATGAAATCCATTCAACCAAAGATCATTATAAAACAGTAAAACCAACTAAATGGAAATATCCAATTTCATTTCTAATAAAACATAGCTCTAATATTTTAACAATAACACAACGTCTATCGTTGTTAAGTCATACACATCCGCATATTAGTTTAAAGCTCAATTCATACTCTAGCACTCTCGAGAAAAAATTTTGTGATGATTTGTCACAAACAGGTTTCACAAAAAGTAATATTTCTAAAGTTTCTATATTATTCCTTACTTTCTTACTTTCTTACCTTTTCACTCAATTAATATTAATATATATTTATTGACTTTAATTAATATATCAGTTGGGCCAATTTCCATACGTAATGCCAAAAGTGTATCTTCTAAAATAGAATTTAGGTTATCTTTTCACAAAATTATCAAGTTAACTCAATTATTACCACCTGCTACAATCCCAATATCTCCATCATTACAAAAAAAAATTAACAATCAATTCAAAGCATCATCTGCGCCATTATCATCAACAACATCAGCATCATTCGACAAACATCTTAAAACTTCAGCAACATCATCTTTACTAGAATCAAATACTAATACTAATACTAATACTAATACTAATACTATTACTAATACCATTACTACTAGTAGAAATACAAGCAATGATACTAGTAATAATAGTAATTATAATAAAATTTCTCAGTCAATATCTTCAAGAAAATCAGCAGCTTCTTCTTTTTCCTCATCCTCTAATGATAATAGTCTCACTAGCAATTCATCAAAAATACAGCTATTGTCATCATTTGATAATAGATCAACATCAAAACAATCATCAACACGAATTCAACAAAAGATTTCAAATATACATAATATTTTTTCATTTAACAGTAAAAATAATCTTCCCTTTAACAATGATGATGATGATGTTGATGTTGATGATGATGATGAGATTAAAAAAAATGATATTCGATTTAATAGAATAAGAAATATTAATAATAAAAACAAAGCCAACAACTATAACTATTTGGTAAATAAAGCAACATCATTACTGCCTAACAATAACAATAATAATGATCAAAGGATAATTTCAGATAATTATGTTATACGAAATGTATTACTAAATAATTACAATAACAACAACAATAATGACGAAGAATATAAGATTTATACCGGCAAAAATATTAGAAATGATGATATTGTCATAATTAAAGTATTTTCAAATAGACTTCTTTGGGAAAATGAAATTGGAATAATTAAAAAATTAAACAGTTCTTTTACATATATTCTAAAATTTCAAGACACATTAATAATCAATAATAATAATAGGAGTAGTATTAATAATGAATATATTATTATCACGGAACACTTTGGCAAAAGTTTAGATCTTAGCATTGACAAATTTAACACTTTAAAATTTACCAGAGAATTATTCTTGAATATTTGTAAAGGCGTTCAATTCTTGCATAAAAATGGAATTGTTGTAGGTAAATTCCTCCAATTATTATTATAATTTATAATTGTTCAATTAATTAATTTATCCAATTGTTTATTTTCAGCACATGAATTTAAATCCTTCAAATATTTTTTGCAAGGATAGTGATAAACCCTGGAAGATTAAGCTGTCAGATTTTAAATACTCTTGTACAGTTGGATCTTCCATCGTAGACATTCCAACAATCTCTTCTTCATTATTAAACACACAATCATTACCCACAACAACCAATAACAATCATCAATATCATCAACGTCATCAACATCAACATAATAATAATAATTTGCCATTTGCTTTAGGATTTAGTGCACCTGAATTAGTATTAAATTTAAATTCTGATTCAATATCACACTATGCTATTGATATTTATTCATTAGGTTGTCTACTCTATTATCTTGTTACAAAAAAGTTATTTTACACAACAACAACAAATAATCTTTTACTTGTTAAGTTGGACAAGATTAAGGAAAAAATTTCCAGAGAAATAAATGATGATATTATAAATGTTCTAATTATTAGAATGCTTAATTTTATGGTTGATGATAGACCAGCAATTGATTATGTATTGGAAAATAGATTTTTTCATTAATTAATTTATTTATTAGTTGGTTTACTTACAAATAGTTTATAAAATATACATTGTATATAAATAAATTATGAATATTTTACATATGGAGTAAACCGCATCACCAAGGATTTTCGGATTTAGTCATCATCAATATATAACAGATAATGTGATCATGATTTAATGATTTTGTAATGAATGCTTTATCTCTATTTCTACTTATACGCATACATTATAATCATAAACATTACACAATCAAGATAATGTTTTGTGAATCTTTGATTTTATTTGATTTACATCAAAGACAATCTAAATCAACCATATGATAAACATTAATTGTGTTTTACATAGAAACATCACCAATCCATTCATTCTCAGGTAAAATAAATCAAACTAATCAAATTGCAAATCTTTCAATAGCCAAACACAATTTTATTTTATCTAAATAATCAACAATAATAAAAATGTTTACAATATCTTCATCAATATCATTTAAAAGGTGCTTCCTTTCAACAGTGAATTTTTTTGCAGGTCTTGATTAAGCTCTTTCTTGGTTACTTACATCACTATAAAATCTGCGCATAAAAACAATTCTATGACGTAAATCAAAAAATTGATGACTGTAATCACTATCTATATCTCCTCCATTTTTTAATCTTTTTCTTTATTGATTCCTGGATTGCTTCTATCATTTTCCTTCTAGGATTCATTTTTTGTTGGTAGAAATTTTTTAAGTAAAGGCAAAACACTTTTTTCTTCAAGTAATTCATGGATTTCCACCACCATTTCACTAAATGAAAGGTCTGGATCTAACTCAATCTTTTATCAAATAATTGCTTAAAATCCTTCCACAGATTTTCAATTTCTTTTGAATATTCTTATCACCCACTAGTGGTTTGGTTTGGTTTACATTTTATTTTAAGCTTATTTTATCGATATTCATGATTGTGATCATTAGATACAGTCAAGGAGATTTCCAAATTTGGAAATTGATTCTAGAAAAATTCAACCTCCTCATATAAATTTTCCTTGAAGATCCAACATAATCTACTCGTTTTAGATTATGGAAATTAATATCTCGTGATGGCATACTTCCTCTTTTTTTTTTAGATAGAGATTGCGAGCGATCAGGGCTAACTTTGATTTTCATCATGTGCATGATGCACGTGTTACCGAGCGTGATTTGTCACACATTGACTATTTATTTTATTATCTTTGATTTATTTTATTACATTGTTATCAATTTTAGTTCAATGATTTTTAAAATAGTATAAGAGACAATTAAGATGAAAAAAGTTGCTAAAGTAGACAAATCAACAACAGATAAAAGAATCTTTAGTCATAGAAATGGTCAAAAGTTGCATAAAGTGAATTGATTTAACAGCATACAAGTAATTGAAATTCTATATGTTTAAAAAATTTGTTTTTAAATGTTAGGTTTTTGTTGTTAAGTTTAGGTTAACTGTTTTATACAGTGCGGATCATCTAAGTATTATCAGAATCTAAAAACTCCTATTAGAGTAAAACTTCAAAAGAGCGAACGTTCTCTTAATATTAAATTAAAAATCAAAGTCACACAAAATCTGATGTTGTTACGTTACACGATTTACCACTAGAACTTTTTACAACTATATGCCGCAGTACGTGTTCAAATAATAACTTTTTTGTTTTAAGAAAAAAATGTCAGCAAAGCGTGGTCCCATAACTTGTCATATTCTTGATTCTTCACGCGGGAAGCCTGCAAATAATGTTAAAGTAAAACTTGAATTCAAAGAGTTTCAAGATAAAGAAAATTGGACAATAATTGGAGAAACGTAAAGTATATTTTATTTATTTATTTGAGTTAAAATAATAATTATCTAAAAAAAATTTTTTCCTTGCATAAATAGAGAATCAGATAATGACGGAAGATGTCAAAATCTTGTTTCTTCAGATTACAAAATTACATTCAACGGTGATAATGAGTCAGCAATTTATCGTATAACATTTTATACTTCTGCATATTTTCAAAAATTGGGACAGATTTCATTTTATCCTTATGTACAAGTAAATACTTAAAAAATTCTTTCAAATAATAATATTAAATTGTAATAAATTAATTAATTAATTATTTATTTATTTATTATAGGTTATTTTTGAAATTAAAGATCCTAATCAACATTATCATATCCCTTTATTAATAAGCCCATTTTCTTACACAACATATCGTGGAAGTTAATTTATTTTTTATTTATTTTCATAGCAAGTGAGAATATTTCTTCCAAATTGGCTTTCTTCATTCTTTGGTATAATATGCTCATCAAAATATTTAAAAATATACATCCATTGTATGTGGAAGCTTAATCTAAAAGAGTTTCAAATTAAAAAGTTTTCAATCAAAATTATTAATCATTATGAATTCATATAGATTGAACTTTCACTTTAATCAATCATTGTAGAAATTTCATACATACAGTATTTCAGCAATCTCCTTGGTCTTGTTCTCAGAAGCTTTTTTAACAGACATATATCATGATACTCCATCAATATACCTGAAACATCCAATTCATTAACAACCCACTGTGTATATAAAGAAAAATTAAACTTAAATAAAAATTAAGATATTATCTTCTTTGCATCATTACTTAATAAAGATTCTTTTATTCCTGGTCCAATAAACCATTCATAAATAAATTTGGGCCTCAATTCAATGTATGAACCATCACTTGATTCATTTGAATTAGGACAATATGATTTATCATCATCATCATCATCAGATACAATAAAAGGACTGTTGGGATAATATTTGGATGTTTCCTAGAATTAAATTTGTAAGATTAAAACAAATAAATTCTTGGCAGATTCAATCACAGTACTAACCTTTGTCAAATGTTTTGGTATGCTTTCATTGGCACTGTCTAGAAATTGTTTTGTTAAAAATTCAGTATTGATATATTATTTCCATAGTAAAACTAGAGTGACAACAAGTGGCAATAACCACCACCATTCTTATGATAAACACTACTCATTTTGTTCTTTATTTTTTTCTTTTTTTTTTCTGATCTGGATTCTTTTAGGTGCCATTTTTTTTTTTGAAAAACAAATTTACAGTCATAATTCATTTATATTCCCCTTTTTTTTGGGATATAACTAAAATCCATCACGTGATAATTTATTGAAAATTTATTTTTTATCGAAGATTGACTTTTTTTCTATCTGTAGATACATTTAAAAGTTTTATTATATCATTAATATATTTAATATATTCACTAATAGCAAAATCACTTTGTTCTAAAAACTTTTTTGCAATCTCAATTGACTTTTTCCCATCTTGATGTGAGGTTTTTTGGTTCTATTGATGTTTGTGACAGATCTGTAATACCTTCAGCAAGAAGAATTCCTTCTAGTATTATTGTCATTGGTAGGTAAGTTTCATTTCTAATACAAATGAACTTATTATTATATCCAACCCTCAATTATAACGTGGTACTCGTGACATGTGACATATATATTAATAAATTAAATAAAAGATCCAGGATAAAAATAATAATCTCATTAATTAAAACAAAAAAAGAATGCGAAAAATAAAAGGACTGATTGACTTACTCTTGCTTCCTTCCGTTAAATTTTTCTTCCCATGTTCAGGCACCAATTAGTTTTAAGCTATGCTTCGATTAATATTAATATTGACTAGTTTCATCCTTCAAAATATACATTTATTAAACAAAGAATATACAAATAAATTAAATCTTACATTCATTTAACATCATATTAATTGCAATAATAAAATCATTAGTTAATTTTTCTTAACAAATCAAAAACTCTAATCCAATGGATATGACATTTTGGATTTCTTCAAAGATAAAGCATATTAAAAAGATTTTTTCATCCATTCTTACGAATTTGTTGTTGCTAGTTAATAATTGAATTGATCCACAACTATCTGAATTTCTATCCAAATATTAACAATTTGGTATTAACCAATAACAATTTAATGATTTTACAACCTTTAAAGATTACATTTACTGGCCAATCCAGAATCAGAAACGATGATATCAAAGCTGGGTGATAAAAAGAAAAATAAATAAATAAAAAAATAAGGGTTTGATTCATTTTGTCGACACCCATTTCGTCGAATGTTCATTTCGTCGAAAATTATTTCGACACAAAAAAAACTTCATTAAACAAATTTCTCCACACACTTCTCACACACACCGCTTTCCCCACCTAATTTCTTAACTAACTTCCCACACTCCTCACATCTAACTCGTTCGGTCTCTGGCTCGAGGATGAAATAATTTTCGACGAAATGGTGTCGACGAAATGATTGTCGACGAAGTAAACGCGACCAGAATTAATTACACGAATTTAAAATGTACGTGACATTAACAAGATTTAGATTTTTTTTGTTGATGTAAATAAAATTTTTACTTGTTACACCTGTTACATCAATTTAATAATCAATCACCCTTCCTTTATGGAAGTGTTTCTCGTTTTTGACACCCCTCCTTCGTGGAAGTGTTTCTCGTTTTTTTTACACACTTCCTTTATGGAAGTGTTTCTCGTTTTTGACACCCTTCCTTCGTGGAAGTGCTTCTCGTTTTTTTACACCCTTCCTTTGTGGAAGTGCTTCTCGTTTTTGACACCCTTCCTTCGTGGAAGTGTTTCTCGTTTTTGACACCCTTCCTTCGTGGAAGTGTTTCTCGTTTCTTTACACCCTTCCTTCGTGGAAGTGCTTCTTGTTTTTCACTCTTTGTGGAAACGTATGAAATTTTTTTTTCCTTGTGGAGGTTTTTATTTTATTTTTACTTATTTTAGTTTGCTTCGCGAAATTGTAGATGTAGATTCTATTCAACCTATAAGATATGACTGTTGTAGAAAGCCTGACCAATCCGTGTTTATTAAGGGGCATATAATTGGAAGAGTGGCTACAAAGAATTTTCAATTCTAGTAATTTTTGTTTTGTACATGTGATAAAAAAATCTAAATTGGGATACATAGTGAATAAATACACAATAATTTCAATTTCTAACAAATTTTTTAATTTTAGGTATGCACATATTCATTTGTGAAGAGGCATGTAATTTCTATGAGTTTACAAAAGGAAAATGATATGAGGGACCAAATGATATACCAGTATCATTTAACGTTGCAACGGAATATAGTAGTAATAAAAGAGTGAGATATAATGCTGATGTAGATGTTAATAATAATTTTGATGTTAATGATGATGATAATGAACATAATAATGAAAGGGTAAGTATTTTAATTAATGGTATTAGTGATTAATGAACAACTTTTCATTTCTTTTGGACTTTTTTTAATTAAGTGTTACCATCAACATCAACATCAAATACATCATCAACAGCATTAACATCAACACCTGATACATCATCATCAACAGCATCAACATCAACATCCAATACAACTCTATGAAAAATAAAATACGGAATTAACGTATGCTAAATATGTTTTTAAAAATATACATACGGAATATTTCTTATACGGTGAAAAATTACCCCTTTTCAAATAAAACGTTTGACGTATGCGTAACGAAACAAGAAAAAAATTGTATTAAAAAATAAAAATTAGATAGAACATTTGAACATATACATGTTAAAATATACATGTTGAAAATTAAGAATTAAAAATTAGTTGAAAATTTAAGCAAGAAAACTAAATTAGTGAATGATAAAAATAATGCATTCTGACGTATACATTGACGCATACATGACAACAAAAATTTAAAATTTAATGGAACGTTTTGACCATATAAACGTTGGAAATCTGAAAGAAAAAAAATTTAAAAACAAATAAACCGTTTGATGCCTGCGTGACGAATTAAGAAAAAAATTGAATTAAAAATTAAAAATTTGAACATTTGAACATGTTGAAAATTAAGGATTATAAATTAGTTGAAAATTTAAGCAAAAAACCAAATTAGTGAACGAAACATTTAAGGATTTATGTTCCCATAAATGCTACAACGAGCAGTAAGAAAGCATTGACACCCCTACATATACCAGTTTTGCGTCATTCCATTGGGAGGATGGAGAAAGTTTGTACTGACTGCAGGGCATTATGTGGGTGGACGAAAGGAAGAGCGACTCATCCCTCACTAACTCAAAATTTACTATTTACTGCTCTAATAGTAGAGTGCAACTCCCTCCCCTCTAGGATCCTCCCGAACCGTTGTACTCTCTTCTTTTTGGATCCAACACACGCTCACGCCAATTTCGAGAAAAGATTCAAGCATACAATTCAGCTTTACCATTTACGTCTATAGGTGCTCACATTGATGCGCAAACCGCAGGTACTAAAGCTATATATATATATATATATATCATACATGTATCATTGCGTTAATTGATGCTATTTTGTGATTTTGTGATTTCGTTACTAAAACCCGCTTATGTGTGATATTACTATTACAGGGATTTACACCTTTCGTATATACATGGAAAGATGTATCACAATATTGGATCTCTTCTCCCGTCAAATGACAGTACACAACCACATTTTGCACAAATTCACTCTACGACACTGAAAATGAACTTCAAAACAGGTTGAATGTGATGCCCCAACTAAATCCTACTGTACTGACGGAACTTCAGGATATGCTCGATAGAACTAATCATTACGTTTCCGTTTTCCAACAGGTCCATGAAATCTTTATTCTCGATACACAAAATCTAATTAAATAAGGTTACACGCTAGTATTTAACTAATTTTTATTAATTAACCAATACAAAAGTGTTGACTATATATAGAATAGTATTAACTTGAGAAATAAGTGATCTTCACCTTATCATTATTGTTGGATAGAAATAGAAATTCTTATTGGGTATAATGTAAAGACAGATTTTCTTTATTCATTTGTTTTATCGAATAAGCTTTTAAATAAATTGTCAGATTGTTAAAACCAAGTCAATATTATAAATTATTTTTTAATTCGCAGATCATTTATTTATCAATGTAAAAATAAATACGGAGTTGCCATTTCAAATATAATAAACACACCCTTATCATTTTATTTTTAAACACCGACATAAACTTGTTTATCTATGAACTTTTCATTTATAATTTTATTGAAAATAGATCATAATATAAACGTTTAATATGTTGGCGATTATCCCTCACATTAATTAATTTTTTTTAAAAATACTTGATCCGACGTGATTCTGGACCGACAGTCTGGGATCGATTTAGCATTCGTGATATTTTTTTATCCTAAAATGGATAATTTTGTTACATCAATCAACTTGATTCCTATTATAACAAGGTGTATGTGGTATTAATAGTAGCTATTAATATTTCGTGTAACGAGGCACGATAATTTTTTAAATAAAAAAAAAATGGGCTTTGCTCGTTCTTCATACAAAAAAAAATGAAACAAAATTCAATCACATTAATAATTTTGTATATCTTGATATCATGCTCGCTATTTCAAATTTCAATCGGAGAAGTAATATATAAAAGAGGTAAATAAAAAAAAAAGTATATTATTATTGATTGATTGATGATAAATTATTTTAGAAAATACACATATATCCTTCTCTTCCTTCAGAACCACAACAACAACCACCACAACAACAACCACAAGATCCAAAAGTTGCACCACCACAACAACAACCACAGGATCCAAAAGTTGCACCACCACCACAACAACAACCACAAGATCCAAAAGTTGCACCACCACCACAACAAACAACAAACAACAATCTAATATGGCTCTTCCATATTATACAACACAACCTAACAATATAAAATAGTAATAGTGAATTGAATAATTGTAAACTTTTTTTAATTGGCACAGAAATCTAACACATTGTCAAATTGTATTGAGTTTTATTTTCTATTCACCAACTTTATTCCCACCAACTAATAATAATTGATAGTAATATGAATGAATGCCTCTTGTGATAATCTTGCGAATATTGATATCAACAATCCTGCGATCAATTCCTATTCTTATATTTCTTATCCACTGACCGGTGTATTAAGTGATGATCTACCATTCGATGTATCGAAGGATTTGTGGGATATTCCAGAATTGGCGATTCTATTGTTTTTAGAATCATTAATCAAGCTAGTGATGATAATTGGGTTGAGATTTGATAAAAATTCAGCATTACAATATGGGGCATGGACAATAGAAACACAACCAACGTCAAAATCATGATTTTGAGAAAATCAAAAAAAAAAAAAAGATTTTTGCCCCAAAATTTAATTTATATTTAGAAAATTATTGTTATTATTATAATATTTAGTGGCTGTGTTCGCAATTTGGGTTGGAGTGGATTACGCCTTAAATCCTGTTCACTAGGATAATCTCTGAAATTAGGATTATATTATTCTTACTTTAAAATTCTGATCCTACATTTTTTGTTGATTATAACAAGGATTGCAATTTGATTTAATTAAATTCATTTATATTTCGTACTTTTTTAAAAATAATAATAATAATAAATATGGACGTTACTGATCTCGTGATAGTGAATCTGCAGTTTTTTTCAATCCATTTGTGATGTATCTTGTTGATTAGGTGGTAGGTCGCGGTTTAAAATACGGGTTTGTAAGTTAGATCGAGTTAGTTTTATTTTGTTCTAATATAAATGTATAGATATATATAATCATGTATATTGAAAATCATTAACATAAATAAACTAATCAGACCTCACTGAAAAAAAAAAAAAAATGTATCTTGTTGATTACTGCCTATTTAGTATGATCTATTTATATGTTTATAATTTCTCAAAACTTTATTAAGTAAAATGGCATGGTTTCTAAACTGCAATTAATCCTTGCAGTGAATTGCATATTAACTCAAATTTGTTCCCGGGGACGTGGTCGTGTCTCTATTGTCTATGATTCGATGTCATATGTTGATGTTGGATTAGTGGAAGGATTATTTTTGCTAAATATTAAAATATGAAAATTATTTTATTTTATATTATATTAGAGGGATTTTCTTTTTTCAAGTAATAATTAACATGTTTTACTGTAAAATATTTTTATTTTACTATCATTTCTCATTTACAACAGAATATAATATAATTGATTTTATTTCTCAATTAAATAAACAATCAATCATCGATTGTTCTTTTCTTATTCTAGACAGACCTAATACATATAAGCATGAATTTTTTTGATAACCTTTAATTATTTTACACTTTTACAAAGATTACAAACAACACCGTTAAAACTAAGATTCCACCCAGAACAGCAATTGGCAAATAAGGTTTATTTTCTTGTGCTCTTGTCAATGGACTATTTCCATCACATACTGCGCATGTATAATCTAAATTTTTTTTTTGTAAAAAAAAAAAGAAAATAATTAATTAATAGACCTCTCTCTTCCCAACCCAAATATTTATTCCCCAAACTAAAAGAAAATCCTTCCCCCAAAAAGAAAAAAGCCCTCACCAGCTAAATTAACTTTTGGCTTTGGAGTATACAACTGAAAACGTGAACCAACAAAAGGTTCTAGTTGTCCAACAGAGGTATTAATTGGCGATGGACCTCTTTCATCCCATATATATAAAAGATAAGCTCCTGCTGGTGGTGTTGGATTTGTTTGTAGGGATGTATCCCATACAATAGAAGTTGTCTCAGGCGGAAGATTTGACCCAATTGAGAAATTAAAAATTCTCTTGTCGGCGTCAATGTTTTTTATAGTATAAACATTTAAAGCTTTTGGTGCATATACTGGATCAAAATTTGCAGTATATGTCCAATTGAACTGATATTTTTTTCCTATTTTAAATATTAACGGAATAATTGTTGGAAAAGTAACTTTTACTCTTACTGCTTGATCACTGGATGAAGGCAAGGCAGGATTTTGTGGTGTTGTTGGCGTTGGTGCAACTTTTGGATCTTGTGGTTGTTGTTGTGGTGGTGGTGCAACTTTTGGATCTTGTGGTTGTTGTTGTGGTGGTGGTGCAACTTTTGGATCTTGTGGTTGTTGTTGTGGTG